GCTTGGAGATATTGGATGGACCCAAAGTGACAAGAATTGCACACAACAACCACATTGCAACAGAGTTTACAGGCAGCCACGCATGTATTGGAACACGCATGCATTTATTGAGAAAGCACGATGCGTGCGTTTGCTTGGAAGAACCTCTGCATGGAGATATTGGACGGACGCAAAGTGAAAAGAATTGGACACAACAACCACATGACAACAGAGTTTTAGTTTTTACAAGCAGCCACGCATGAACAGGGAGTTTATACAGGCAGGCAGCCACGCATGCATCTATCGGAACACGCATGCATTAAATATTTATTGAGAAAGCACGATGCTGTCCTTTCTTGTTCTTGCGTGCGCGGTAGTCTGGTGCGACACCGAAGGGGTGGGAAGGGATGCGTCCCGCGCGGAGTCCGCAAATAAATTGGACACGCACCAAACACACGCACTGGCGGCTGTGTACTGTGCTGTAGAATGCACAGAGCGTGTTATTATACAGCTGAGAGAGCGTGATCATCAGAAAGAAATCAGGAACGGAAAAAAAAGGTCGTCTGTCACCAGCGGCCGAAAATCCGGCTCACCTCCCATACATAGGGGTCCAACAAAAAAAATTAAATTATTTCGCGCGAAGCGCGAAAAGGGTCGGAGAGAGACATCACAGCAAGCGTAGATAGATATGTGGATGGAGCCTACGCCACCACGTAGGTCACCAGTGCGCACGCTCACACCTCACCCGATACCACCAGTCAGCCGGGGATGAATGGGAGAGCTGTTTAGCTCTCATCATCATCAGCTCAGCGGCAGCAGTGCTGCTGCTGCTGCTGCTGCTTGCTGTTGCTGCGGCGCTGCTGCTGCTGCTGTGCATGGGTGCGCACTTGCTTTCTTCGCTTTCGCTACTAGCAGAGGGCAACAGGCTCGAAAAATTGGGCCCGACCCCTCCCACGACGTGCGTATTTGGCCGCCCATGGCTTACAGCGCTGTGTACGTCTCACTTGTTTCTGTTTCTGGGGTGCATCTGTTGTGGAAGCAAAGATCGGCCGCGGCAGACGAGAGACAGCAAACAAAGATCTCACTTGTGTGCACTCGCATGTTCCCTCGCTTACGCTGCTAGCAGTAGGCCTTGGGGTCTAAAAATAGCTTCCGACGCCAGCCATGATGTGTGCCTTTGGCCGGCCTTGGCCTACAGCAGTGTCTAGGCCTCGTTTTCTCTGTTGTGGGGATACGTCTGTGCGGGAAGCTCCAAAGATCGGTAGGTTGAGGGTGATGCAGACAGACCGCGGGTTGACTTGCGTCGTCACTCGCTTGTGCTGCCGACAGCAGGCAACGGGCCGCAAGAGTCCCACCCAACGCCTCCCATGATGTATGCCTTTGGCTGCCCTTGGCCTACAGCAGTCCGTATACTGCTGTGCTGGTTGTATCGTACAGAACCGGCCCGCACTTAAGAATATGGACGTTAAGAATTTGAGCCTCAAAAAATCCAATTTTTAAGAACTTGCCCCAAGAACACTTGCTCAGATCGCTCCCTGCTGTTAAGAATAAGAACCCCCAGTGAGGTGTACGACTGGTTCTACAGATAAGAACATATATGACGTGACGCGGTGGCGAGAGAAGAACATACACAGCAGGAGGAGGAGGTGGGGGGGGGGGCGTTCCCAGGTTTTTGGGTAGTCGGTACCTACCTAGACTTCCCTTTCTAGATTTTTTTAAGGGTTATAATCAGGGGGTACATATGCTGTATACATCGTGCCCGTGTGCCAGCGCGGAGGGTTTTTTTGTTGATGTTTCAATTTACTCGAAGCAGCGTGTGCAGCGTGCCACGAGTTACCTGCCGTGCAGGGGGATCATGTCCCTGTCCAACCCCTTATCCCACGGGTTGTTGAAGGATCTTGGCAAACTCTCGGAGATGAAACAACGAGGACTGATTCTTGACCGTCACTTCGAGACGATCAAGGCACATGCGAAGGCGGTAAAGAGAAGATGGACAAGTGGCTCGATCAGTCGGACAACATCGAGAGGTGGGAAACCGCGTCGCTGACAGCTTCTGACCGGCGCGTACTGATCACTCAATGGACGGGAGCGGCCATGGCAAAACTCAACAGCAATCAGGGGTACCGACACCGCCTTTTCGAAAAGTGCGGGATGGCGATGACCGTGGACGGCTCAGGCGATGATCGAATCACCTTGGAGGGTTTGGACCAGCTGTACACCTTCGCAAACGATGAAGACTCCAGCGAGAACGAAGGAGGTTCGGAGGACGTCAGCGATGGGCCCGAGGGGCGGGAGGAGGAGGGCGCCGGAGGGCGCGAGCCGGTCGTCGGAGATGAGCGCAACGGTGCCAACAACGGGGAGGGCGTGGAGGACGCTGGATACAGCGATGAAGACGACGACGGTGGGTTTGATTGGCACTACATAGACTACAGCTTATTATTCATCTTTACCGTTGTTGATTGTCCTTTTTGTTCATTTTTCCTTGTGCTGTTTGGGATATTGCTGATATTCTGTTTCCGCGTCACGTCTACGAACACATGGTGTGCTTCAGTTGAGTAACGGCGATGACACCCGTACGTTCCTTCTCGTGTTTCACGGTACCCTTTGTCGCAGACATGTCTCAATCCCAGACCGACGAGCTAGCTCTTTTGGACGAGGACGACAGCATGGACCCAGACGACCCGGAGGACGAGACGCAGGGAATGGAGATCCCGGCGGGCTTTCGCCTCCAAGAATCTACCCCCGCTGCTCTTGACAGATTGCTTTTGCAACGTGGAGTGCTTGTTAGGCTGGGCATGGGGTGGTTCGGTGGGTTGATCATTCAGCAATCTCCGCAGCGCCACCTGTACGACTACTGTGTGCAGCTGGAGGTAGACCCCACAGTACGCGCAAGATGAAGCTGCCCGTGGACAAGTACAGCGGAGATCCGGACGCGGCGATAGGCTCGTGGGTTTTGCTTGAGAGCGTCAGTAGGGCGGGAAGGGTACGCACCCCCAACGTCACTCTTGTGGACCAAGACTGTTGACAGTTACCCCATATGAGGGGGGTGTTTGCGGCATGAAACTCTGGGTCGAGTGCAGTTGAGAGTAGTGCACCAATTGAGCATTCGATGATGACAAAAGAACAAGAACACACCTTTTCTGGAGAACTGGACGAGGAAATAAGAACTTAGCAAATAAGAACTTGTGCTCTGCTTGGGGCAGCCAACAAGAAGCGAGCCTCGCTCCAAATAAGAGGTTCTTAAGTGCGGGCCGGTTCTGTATGTTGTCTACGTGATGTGTATGGTGCTGCTGTGCGAGAGGATTTCAGTGATTCTGCCGAGAGCGTCGTGCCCATCGCCCAATCATCTGTCTCTGTCTTCCAAAATGTCTTACGAACTCGACGGGTGATTGGAGTCAGGCATCTACCCGGCTCTACCCCTCTAAAACATAGATAATTGTTGGAAGTTCTTCCGTGTCTTACAAAAAAATTGCCCTATTTATGGGTGCTCTGCCGAAAATCCGGAATGAATGCTGCCCGGAGGGCGGCCCGCTGGAAATGTGGCGCTTGAAGAATGGAGAGCTCCTGGCCGAAAGAGAAAATGTATACGTTCTACATGTACTTGGACGGAGGGTGGTGGTAGGCAGTGGAGGGTGCTGTCGGCGGAGTGAGAGGAGGGGGCGCGGGCACGTGTGCGAGGAAGAGAGCGAGAGAGCTGCGCAAGGTGCCGAGGTCGGAAAAACGGAGAATCGAAGAACGCAGGCAGGCGGAGAATCTTCTTCAAGATGTCATGAAAGCGGCGAATTGGAGAACGCCGGCGGAATAAGCGGACAAAAATCCCTGACGCGTCCGTACGCGGTTCTGAGATACAGACGGATAGCGGAGGTCTCGTGTGATCGCAAAGGAGTGCGTGAGATCCAGACAAAGAGCGAAGCGACAGAGCGATGGACCTCGTGTAACGGGAAGAACCGCAAAGGAGTGCGCGAGTTCCAGACAGACAGCGAGTGAACGGACAGAACGACAGCCCATCCATGTGTGATCGGAAAAGAAGCGGAAGCATTCAGTCTATCTGAACCGAGTCCGGTGCGTGGAATTACAATCCAGCCTGTGAGCATGAATTAAAAGTGAGCTGGGGGATATGAGAGAGAGAGAGAGAGAGAGAGATAACCAAAAGCCGAGAAGGTGTGTGGGAGAGAAGGTGTGTGGAACGAAATTGAATCGAAGTGAGAAAAGTCTAAACGATGACTGTGAGACGGGCTGAACAATCGGAAAATACTGCTGTGTGAGAGCCCGAAAAAACGGAATACTGAGCTCTGAGCCGTCCACGCGGAAAATGAATGGAACGTTCTCACGGAATTCCAAACTGATACTACTGTTATTGCATGCATCATATGAAGTAGGCAACACAGCAGTAGACCACAGCATAACTGTGCATAAATTAATGAAGTTTGGTCCATCGCCTGACGTGCCGTGGCAATCGAACAGCAAAATGAAGGGTGTTCCCGCAGCACATACCACAATGCACATACCACAATGTACATACTTGTATCCGCCGGCAAGAAAACATCTGAGAGCGCCGCGCGGGGTGCACACCGCTGCCTATCTATGCAGGTGCAGGGTCGTTCTTGAACGAAACCGCAGCCAAAAGCAAAAATACAGCGCGAATATATGAAGTCTATGTGAGTTGTGTGTGGTTGGGTCTGCGTAAGGCGCAAGGGCATCTGTAACAATGTATCGCAGCACGGGAATAGACTTGAAGCACGTTAGCAGAAGCCGGCGTTGGTGTGCCACAATCGCGAACGATTAGGAGCGCGATTGGAGTTGCATCTGCCTTTCAAGTGCTTCAGCTTGAAACTAAAACAGTTGTGGCAGACCTTAGGCATATCACGGAGAAACGCAGCCAGTCCCGTTCCCGACAAGACGTTTAGAAGAGGTCAACGATGTTTAAACAACCCTGCACGATCATATCGAGGGAACATTTACAGAGTCGAACACTTGCGATTCAACAACAGTAGCCGAGATCATTGTTGCGTCGTGACTGGCAGAAAGCACATCACAAGGCCCCCTCCTGCCGCATTGTGTTACCCAAGGCCCCTACCGCAATCTGTCCTCCGCACACTCCGTGGTCACTCGTAATCTCTGAAGGCCTTATCCGCAACATCAATCGGAAGATCCCCTTCTCTAGCTCTCTTGCTGCCGACGTGGACGGCATTTGGATCATCGCCGCCACAACTGGTAGCCGCCATCGACACCGGCGGACCAATTTTCGGACCAATTTCATCGATACCGTTTGGCTCGGCCTCTCCACGGTTGCCTCCCCCGCGCTTCGAGGCACCCCCAGTACTTTCATCGCCGGCTGTTGGGCGGTCGGGCGATGCCAAAGAAATATCGGCTGAAGACATCCCCTCTCCAAGCTGCCCTGCACCACTGCTCAACCCTCCTGCCACGTTTGGCTCCCGTACTTCCGCACCGTCATTTGTCGCAACGGCCTTTTTCGCCGCAGCATTTGCGGGAGGCTCTTCCGTCTGGGCTGGTGACCGAGGCGCTGGCCCACGCGACGGGCCAATCGGTCCGGCGCGAGCCCCCCCGCTTGCAGCCCCGCTCTTCGAGCCCGTGGGGGTACTTTGAGGCAGACAAGGGCCGACAACAGGTGCTCGGGCTGGGCTTGTGGTTCTGGGAGCGTTTCTCGGAGAGGGGACGGGGGCGGAGGGTCCCCGGGCGGGGCCGATCGGCCCGATGGCGGGCCCGTTCGCCGCTGTTCGCCCTCCGGTGCTCAAAAGGTCGTCCGGAAACTGTAGTGTGGCGCCAAGGGTTGCACAAACAACACGTGGAGAACACGGTTGAAACGGTTGAAATAAGGCGGGTCCGAAGACAAACAGTACGTGCACCGCATCAAGCGGTAAGATTGTTAGGGCGCGATGTGAGTCGTCAAAATGCATGTAGGTACACTACGAGAATCGTCCGACATTGCTGCTGGTTTGGCGTGAACACGTACGGGAGATGAAGTCATGGTGTGCAGGATGTTCGGCATCTGGGTTAGTCATGTTCGAGTCCATTACCATATGACGAACTGGATATGTTTTCATCGAGAAAAATCATGCTCAGAACATGAAACAGGGTGGTAGAGCCGGAAAAGCAAATCAGGCCCAAGCCTGTTCTGTAGCCTGCTACTACTACCAGTCAACAACGGATAATTGCTGCACGCATCGTACACATCGTCCAACTCAACGTTGTGCTGGAAGTCGGCAACCCCCGCTCTATGGCTACGCAAAATAACATCCTGCCGTACCGCGAATGCCCTTGGGCGCACTGTTCAACATCAGATTCAGCAAGAGCAAAAAAGTGACAAACGTAAACGCAAATATCAACCAAAATAGAAAGCCAACCGACTTAGTACGAAGCAAATGGGAGAGGGCAACATTTGTCTCCTTCACACCTCTGCCGGCTTAGGTACCTTTATTGCCTGGCCATCTGCGATGGCCATTTCCCGTTCCGCTGTGAGTTTTGCCTCGAAGGTGTCGAGTTGTGCAAGGAAGCCCTCGTGTGGGTTGACGATGGACCTTCGTGATCTCAGGTACGTAAGTGCCTGCGGTGATTCACGAGCGGTGGGGACAACGTGTTGGTACGAGTCAAGCACCACAAGGGATTTGGGGTAACACAGGCTAGCATTCGGAAACGGGGCGAATATTTGGCACGATGGCACAACTCATTCGGGACTAGGAACGGATTCGCCATGAAAATTGGTGGCCTACAGTCGGAGGGCGGGAAATTCAGCATTGGAACCTCAGCTACGGGGACATCACTGATCAGCCCGTTTGAGACGGATCACTTGTCAATGACTACGGACTTCCACTTGGATGTTCCTGTACCCGCCACATAGCATTTGATCCCGAATTTGCGGAGAGGGACGAACGAGACGAGACAACCCCCCCTCCCTTCACGACCCATGACCCCGCATGTGACGTTGTGAGCTCACCGTAGTCTTTGAGAGTCCTCTTGTTCTCATGAGGTACGCCGCCACGACGGTGCTGCTCCGGCTAACGCCCTTGTTGCAGTGAACAAGCACCTTCCCGTAAAAGCTTCCCTAGAGAACAAATATGGGGAAAAAACATCTGTTGAGGACTTAAATATTCTCGAAACAGGAAGCATGGATTGAACACGACCAAGCTTTGTGCAACCTACGATCGTTACGATATTCCATATGACTGTCCAGTACATGTAGCGGAGAAATACACAATAGTTTCGTCTCGAGCAACCAATTCTTGACAAAATATGTACAGAAACCCGCAGTTTACGACAGTTGTTGCGGCGATAGAAACAAAATCGTTCCGGCAAACCGGCGCTTGGGCGAGAAGCCGGCGGCGCGTCGGAACGCTGTTGCGGGGGAAGAACAAGTTTTCATACGATTCAACAAAAGAGAAATACCCGATGGCATCTACAAATGAAAAACAGCTCTGGTGGCCCTACCACGAGATACTGATGACTATTCCTGCGCGCAAAAACTCTCAACAGTTTGTGAACAAGCAGCTACGGCCAAAGTACCTGTTCGATAAATGAGATGCAAGACTCCAGATGTTGCAGCAGGTCTTCCCCACGGTTGTCAAAGACCGCCACCCGCTTGTACGTCATGGCGCGATCCTTCTCGAAGAAATTGGGCACGCCGTTGGTGGGGTCCATTCTGCAACATTCAAAGAGACCGTAAAAAAAAAAAAAAATCCATTCATAGAAAAGTCCTGCAGGGATCCTTCGAATCGTTGGTCAACAATGCGATGTAAATATCCGTGTACGGTCCGGCCATCACTCTGTGCGGCGCTGGCCATAGTTGCCCAACTCAAGCTGTATCATGTATTCTACTTTGGAGAATATACCTAAAGGATGGCGGTCGTGCCGTGACACATTTCTTAATTATTGCACGGGAAAAAATATGCCTCCGATATTTTGGTGTCTTCGTGGACCAGACTGGGAAACAAGCCTACCGCTACCACGATTCCTGGATGAGTACCTCCTGCGACGGGACAAATCGTCCTTGAACGCGACACAACCTTGCGTCGACCTGTGGCATGCGTTTCTTGCTGCTGCCGAGAAACAGATATACGTATGGCACCACAAAATAGGCATGTGCTGATCTTCTTGCATAACGACCGAACCGACAGCTGATAGTTGAAACGCAATAACAATCGATCCTATGATATACGACCGCATGTGCTGACAGAGTTGATCGTGTGTGATGAATCAGAGCGGAACATGTCCTGCGGGGGAACACCGCTGTATTGTTGTTTGAATGATGAAATACGCCGGTGGCATGTACCGCTGCTGCTATGTCGCGCTGCGGATAAACCGACTGCTGCGGTTGATACGGCAAGATATCTACTCCACCATAGACATGCGTCTCGCATGCATTGGCAGAGAGTGTTGTTCGTGTTTAACGAATCAGCGCGGAGCACCTCCTGTTGGCGAACATCACTGCACGCTACACAGTACACCTTGTTGTGTACCGCTGCTGTGGATCGCATATAGACCGTCCTCATTTCATTTGCACCTACATCCATCAGACACATGCAAGAATAGAAGACGCTATGCAAGTATGATTGCCATACGTAGTTTCCGCATGTATATGTGAGGCTCCTCTCCATGCATGTCAAAGGGAATGGGCATTTTTTCGTGCTGCGCAAAGTAGTAGTAACGATTGCGCATATCGGAGTGGTACCGCAGAGGTTCAATCGGGAGCTATCGGCCATGCTGCACTGCAGACGTCGTGGGTCCTTCCGAAGTTGCACATCCGTCTGTTCTACAACCAACACTCGCACCGACGGCACCGAGACGACCATGAAGGTCATACGCGCCGACACAGGGCTTGTGCCGCCGTTGATAGCGGCTTTCCCTCATCTCTTTGAGTTGCATGTACCGTGGTGCATTCCCGGTTCTGTGCTGGCAACTTTCCTAACCCTGTGTTCCGTCCGCCGTGCACACAACGTACGACGATCGGACACCCGAATTTCCGCAAAAATGTTTTTCGAACCTCTTTTTCCAGGCCCGAACTTCGAAAACTTCACACAGATATGAGGGCTTACGCCGAGGAAGTGCGTGGGTCCCTCAGATCGTGCACCCCAACTTCGCCTCTATCATTTTCGCAGCAATTTCGTCCGCGTTTCTGCTTGCTCTAACTCTCGAAGCCCACCAGCCATCCCACGCATTCTGAGTTGCATATGCCCGTGGTGCATTCCCGGTTCTGTGCTGGCAACTTTTCCGCACCCTGTGTTCCGTCCGCCGTGCACACAACGAATGATGATCGGACACCCGAATTTCCACAAAAATGTTTTTCGAACCTCTTTTTCCAGGCCCGAACTTCGAAAACTTCACACAGATATGAGGGCTTACGCCGAGGAAGTACGTGGGGCCCTCAGATCGTGCACCCCAACTTCGCCTCTATCATTTTCGCAACAATTTCGTCCGCGTTTCTGCTTGCTCTAACTCTCGAAGCCCACCAGCCATCAAACGCATTCTGAGTTGCATATGCCCGTGGTGCATTCCCAGTTCTGTGCTGGCAACTTTTCCGCACCCTGTGTTCCGTCCGCCGTGCACACAACGAATGATGATCAGACACCGAAAGTTCCACAAAAATAAAAATCGAACCTCTTTTTCCAGGCCCGAACTCCGAAACCTTCACACGGATATGCATATGAGGGCTTACGCCGAGGAAAGTACAGATCTTGTACTGGACGTGGGGCCCTCACATCGTGCACCCCAACTTCGCCTCTATTTTTCGGAACAATTTCGTCAGCGTTTCTGCTTGCTCTGCCTCTCGAAGCCCACCAGCCATCCCACGCATTCTGGGGCGGGCCAATCATCCCCCTAGTTTTCGTATGCGTAAGAAAACGCCGAGTCTATGATTCCTCGAACATGTTACTCCTAGATTCGTGTTCGGAAGGATCAAAGTTGTGGGAATCGAAGAGGGGTTAAGACTCTTTTTTCTTGTTCTATTAAACCGCGCATCTGTTCGTTTTCAGGTGGTTGTTGCCCAACGGCGGGAGTAGGGGTCATACGTTACCCCTGGGCGGGCTGTGCGCTCTGGTTGCTCCCCCAAGAAAATTCTTCATCGTAAGGTGGTGCACTTGTGGAATTGTCCAAAACGTATAGAGCTTGGAGAGTGGTCAGGTTGGTGGCAGACTTTCCATCCTGTTCCGGCCCATACATGGAATCGACCTCACCGCAATCGGGGTCGGGGTAAAAATGAACCAAACCGAACCCGGTGCTGCCCGCCAAACGGAAAAAGCACACACCCTTCTTGTACGGGGGCTAACGCCGTTGCATCTGTCGGGAGAAAACACATCTCCTCCTAGAAACTGGTCCCGCTCACATATACAATATGGTATGTACTTTAGCGAATGTATATGCATATGAGGAATATGTATTATTTCGAAGCAAAACTTGGATGAGTCCACGGAGGAAAATGTAAGATTAACTACTACGCATACGAGACTGTCGGTAAGTCCAAGCAGCGTTGTGCCGGTTTCTTGCGTCCAGCGTCCAGGCAAGTTCTAGGGACGAAGGTTGGTGCAAAATCGCGCCGCGCAACAAAGCGCGAGGGGGGATATTTTCTATTTTCAGTCAACAACGGCAGAAGGAATTGTTGAAATGTTGCTCTTGTGGAAGTAACTCTTGCAACAGAGCCTTTGTTGACTACAATGAGCGCTGATCGTTTTGTAAACGCGGGTGGCCGGGTACACACCACGAATGTACTTGGTAGCTTGACAGACAGACGGGTGGGTGGTGAGGCGAAAAGGGGGTCATAGGACACACTCTTGATGACCCCCTACTTGTTCTGCTCCACTTTCGATGCCGTTGACACAAAACGATTCAAGTCTTCCTTGGCATGAGAAGTGTTCCACCAATGAAAGGCCTGAAGATCAATAGCATGTGCTGCGTGTCGTTGTTGTCTGTCTACTGCTTTGTTGTAGGGACTTTCCTGCCTCTCTCTCACGTTCGGGCTGGAGTCACGTTGAGCACGCGGTTAATCCCGAGCTCCTTCAGAAGCCCCCGGTTCTTGGCGTGCACGCGGCTCCCAATATACAGGTGATCAAGGACCCGGGAGGGTCTCTTGTCGTCGCTACCTGAGCTGCTCATCGTCTCCGCGGGCAGCTGTTGGCGTGGGTTGGTTGCCTCCGCCTGCGTATTGTCAGTTGAGTTTGCCGGGTGACAATAGAGGGGCTCCGCGAAATGTTCCGCGACCGTGCCCGTAGAGATTCCGAGGCCTCCAAACGAAACCGCCAACTCATCCTCATTTCAATATTTCTTCGACGACAAGGTCTCCTCATCTCCTCATGCACATGTAATCATGAAAATATCAAGCAGCGCGTTCCTGCTGCAAAAATCTACAAAAGCTAACGGCCGACACAAGTACGTGGCTTCTACTATAGCATATCTTGTCGCTTGTACAAGAATAGATCTGGAACAAGTATGGTATGATATGTACCCCCAGCAGTAGTTGTGGATACAAGCTCGTCTCTACCCACCGACCGGCAGCCACGCCCTGCTGGCAATATGATGTCTGTCGGACCAAGACCTTACTCGGCGGGAGATGGTGTTCGACGTGGTAAGTGAGTGGCAGGTTGGCAGCACCTATCCGAATCGGCACGTGTTGAAGGCATGCGAGTTGGTCCGTTTGCCGCGTCTCTCCGCCCACCGCCAATGATTGTTGACTACAATAGTTGCCGCTTTCCGGGGATGACGGACACGTGTCTTACAAATGCATCTGCTGTTTGGTACCCGCCTTTGGTACAGCTGTGGGGTAGCACAGTACGATTGTACTATATTGCAAATGATATCGGGCTGCTGGCCTCTCTTTTACACCCCCTTGTGGGCTCACACCCATGCTCGCCACCTACGAGATCGAAGTTGGCACGGGCGGCCAGCGCCTACAGTAGGCCTACATGTACCCCCAAGTATTGAAAACTTGGCGAGGAGCACCTCCATGAGTGAAGCAGTGGTTGTAGTGCAACGTCTGGCTGTTACGACGTCTGGCTGTTATGACGCAGAGATTTTGAAAAATACGGACCAACTCAACAATGTACGTAATTGTACCACGTTCAGGTTGTGTAAGGACGTACGTTACAGTAGACAATGTACAGTGTACTGTAGTTCGGAGTCTCATGACTTCCAAGCGAAGGGAAGGATTCTGGGCATATCCGTGGGCGTGGCGGTACAACTTCGTGCTCCATACTGTACAGTATGGAGGCATTCTCTGGGAATGACCAAGGAACACGCATTCAAGTTGTACTCTGGAAACCCGTTCGTGGGCGCTGCTGATACAGAGAGGCACGAGTGCAAGTCTTCTTCAACGGTACGGTAATAGCTCTCCATTTCGCGCAGCACTACCTTCAGGTTATATTGTGTAGTACGTCAATGCTGAAGGACCCTACACCCCAACGCTTTACGCGATAAAACGCTCTCTGCATCTGGTACACGCAGACAAGAGCGGATCATTGCACGTCTTGAGGAAGTATGCCTGTTCATCTCGGTCTAAATGGTTTCGATCATCAATGACCCTCAGGGTTGGTGGATGTTGATCCTCCTCCTCCTCCAATTCGTCGAGACTCGTCACTGGAAAGGGGCATCATCGGGGCGCCTCCTCCCTTGGTGCGAGACTCCGACCGTACCTTCACGGCCGCCGAAGTGGAGCGGCTTCTTGCCGTGCGCGAGAAAGAGGTCAGGATATGTGTATGCTGCTGGTTTACAATAACAAAGGGTTGGCGGAGTGGAGCACTCTCCAACGCGCATGCCCCAGGCGACCGTCGAGGAGCCGGCCATTTGGGCAAGCTACAGTCAGAGATTAGGCTGGGTTCGTCCTACAACATCAGCTCGTCACCGTATGCATAGTCGCCTTGACCAAGCGTCTTCTCGTGTCCCCGCTGCCCGCAGCGTTTGGCCGTAAAGGGAAGACTCCACCGAGCATCAAAAAGGTGCGATACTCTAGAGTCGACGACGTCGGTGCTTAAACAGGAGGCATTGGATTTAAGGAGCACTGTTGAAGAACACGTGGCTGAACGCGGTGAGAGGTGCAACGATGAGAAATAAAGAAGGTGCCGCAGGCAGGGTACAGCTATCCATGGCATTGTACATCGGTTAGAGAACCTAAAGCGGCCACCGGGTAAGGGCCCACAGAACAGGGGGTTTGCTACTGGAGCTGAAATATCGAAGGCTGCAACAATCTCTGAAAGCACTCCGAAATCAAGCGAC